ATATATATATATATGTGTGTGTGTAGATATATATATATGTGTGTGTATGTGTGTTTGTATATATATACATGAATATATGTGTGTATGTGTATGTTTATAGGAGTGCGTTACCACCTGGTATCATATATAAGGCAACTAGCGAGGCCATATAATTAGGCTTAGTAGACAATGTTAACCCATAATAGCACTCAGTACACTTCAACACGTCACCTATAGGCTGTACGAAGAATGCAGTTAGTCTCGCCTGGCTTAAGCAGATATTTGGCCACTGCACTAAGCAGGAATCACGTGTACAGTACTGGCTCTTGATCCTCGATAGCAACGGCTTCCATGCAAGGATTGTTTTTTCTGGTACTGTGATAAAAAACTACTACACCACAAATTCTTGTGATAATAGTGACTATAGGTAGTTCTACAGCCTCATTTTTGCGAGCTCGTTGGGGCCAAGAATCGGCGATATTACGCGACTCCAGGCGTCACGCGCACAGACACGGTAAGAAGATCAACTTACATCGCAGCAAAATTGCAAGGAACGTTAGCTTGTAACAGCCTCTCGGAATAACCGAGGACTAGAATTACTAGCAATGCTTGAGTGGCGCTATCTGCTATTGTTTCATGGTATTGCCAAGCACGCCACCCCCTAAGAGGTAGTCGCGTAGCGGAGCTGGAAGCGCGTCTCCGAGAGTAGTTAGTAGACTTGGCGCCTCCAGCGCAACACAACATTCTCCGCCGTGGAGTTACTCAACAGCACTTAACCGGTCTACCGGTACACTGCATGTTAATCCTACGACCTAATAATAGAGAAGTGCGAACTATGACGAACGGTATGTGTATCGATTGATACTTCAACTTCTCGGAACCATTTACGATTCAGATTTCTAAGCTGATGCTGAAGGTGTTAGAGTAATATATTTTACTACTCAATACAGTGTCAGGGGCGATTTTTTCTTCCATTTTTTTTTGCACGTTAACAGGTTCAGAGCCTAGGTTAGCGCAGTGGAAGCAGCAGCCGAACGAGGCAGGACGTTTGAATCGCGCTTGTACCTGCATTCCCTTAATTTTAAATTGTGCTTAGCTGGAGCTAAGAATACAAGGGCTGGCAGCTAACCGGGAGCCAAGACTCAGAGCCAAGAGCCAAGAGATATAGGCTTGTCAACCGACCATGGGTTCCTAAGCGCTGCGCCAAAGCCCCCTAGTTATACCCGATGTGTCACATGCTAACCGAGATAGATAAACGTGCTGTGAATGTATCCAGAACATCTTTTCATATAGTCCCAATGCCCACACTCTATGTAACCCTTACCTTAATACCCTATCACTCTACCATAACCCGAACACTAGGTGCTCTCACCATGGAGAGGCGGCTATGTCGCTATAGCAGGGAGGTTTGCGCCATGGAAAGAATTTTCAAGTAATCCCGATACTCTTTTAGGTAAGGTCTATGGCGGAGGTCCACTTACGCATGGTCGAACGACATGATTCTCAAGCCAAGAGTCACATCTAGAGCCGAGAACTAAGAGCCAGAGCTGAGAGCTAAAGCAAGCTAAACACCTTGGTTGACCTCCCTGTATTGATCATGGGAGTGTGGAACTAGTATATATTATACTGCTTGATACCGCGTTAGGGGCGATTTTCCTTTTGCCCTTGAACATCAGATACGAAAGCGATGGGCATATCCTTCAAAGTGGCTAGCTGAGCTATGCGGTTTAATGATTCGACAAGCCACGGAAGCCTAATACAAGCCTTTGCGTGTGACATCCCGACCGTAGCACTACTCATGGCTGATAATAGATAATGATCTGGACTTAATGCACAGACAGTTGTTACGCCACGTGCGAAGAAGTCGTGTTACTAGATACGCACGTGTTCAACAGAGCGGGTGTGGCCAGAAGTCTGTGTAGAACCGATTCAGGGCGGCGGGAAGTAGTGCAGAAACCGAAGGCTTAGATGACTTGGCAGCCACAAACTCAATTGCCAACGTAAGTCAGCTAAGTTCAGGTCGCCTCCGCATATCGCCTCGTCTGTTTGTGGCTTCCGCCCCCAAAGAGCAGAGGCCTATGGGGGAACCGGTGACAGGCTACGGCCAGACCGCGCATGGGTGCTGTCCCACAACTGATTCGTACTATTGTGGCATGCATGCGGCTGTAGTGGCGTTGCCTATCTTGGACAGCGGGCCTTTTCAAGCTAGACATGGCCCTTTTCGAGGCACTAGCACTGATGACTTTTGTAGTAAAAGGGTGCAGCTTTTGATAATCCAAGAGTATCCTCGAATTCCCTCTTTCTTCTCTCAACAAGACCTTCGGTGTGTTAGGGGCCTGACATAATTCGGTCATGAAGAGTTCGGCATAGTTTCAAAGGGGAGCCTACAGTCTTGTTGATATGCTTAATTACACTTAATTTTTGTTCAATCATTATCTGCGAATGTAGAGGTACGAGATTCCAAACGGCATCAATGATACACTAATACTGAAAAACCATCCAGAAAACAATTCTCATCACTGTCGTTATCCACCACTGTCGTTATCCACCACTGTCGTTATCCACCACTGTCGTTATCCAACACTATCTTTATCCACCACTATCTTTATCCATCATACGCCCCCAGTTGCGCATATCAAAATTGCGCTCCTATTGCTCGACACACAGAGCCGCCATATTATCTAAACCTTCTTTGAACGCTTTGTCAATAGACAAGATGCCTTCCGATCCTCCTGCCGACAGGATCTCTCCTAATCCTCCTGCCGACACGATATCTCCTAATCCTTTTGCCGATCCGGCCTCCAATCCTTTTGTTGATCCGCCTTCCAATCCTTTTGCCGACTCGCAGGACAGATACACCTCATGGAACACAACACAAACTACGCTCAACGAGAAAAGATATGATGATTCGCGGCCCATAACCTCGAGCTCTGGACTGAGTGGATATGCATCAACGTTCGCTACCAAGACCGGTCACCCTGAGTCACAACTCCCAAAAAGCAAATCCAACCACCACCCCGGAGACAGTTGCGATACTAAATACACTACATCGTCAGTGTACAACAATGAAAAGGGCTACAGCCAGGACTGGCCAGAACTTCCAGAACTCAAGGATCCAGCAAGGCATCTTACAAAGTGGGAATTGGGTTTTCAAAGATTCTTTTTCGCCTTCACCATCTTAGCGATTAACATCACCGTCTCGTTGGTGGCCGTCTTCACGCATCCAGGACTCTTTGTACTCATCTTCATGGTCTTTGTCAAAGCCAAAGATGTCTTATCTGTCTTGATAATCATGTTCAGCAAGATCTATCTTTCTATCAAGAACCGCATTTATCCCAAGCCTGAAGTAAGCCGCAAGTGGATCCTTTCCCTAATCCCGACATACTCCGAGAGCGAAGAGCAAATCATCAAAGCAATTAAAGCCCTTCGACACAATGACGTAGATCCACACATTCAAGTAATGTGTGTCATTCTGGATGGCAAACATCGCGATATCCTGTCACACATGACACGTGTGGTGAAGACATGGACCAGGCCATATGTTACCACCAAGTCAAAGTTGATAACACTACAGTTAATCGCCGGCTTCATCGACGATGTACCCATTTTCGTGGCCGAGAAGCTCCAGAACTCTGGCAAGAAGGACAGCTTGGTTTTGTGCCATGATCTATTCAACAGCCCTCGAGAGAACATGCCCATATATACACAAAACCTGCGGGAAGAAATCTGGGCAGATATTCTACCAGAACTGACTGCAGGTTTGAACTTTACTGGTTTTGATATGGTCTTTTGTACCGATGCCGATTCTACCGTTTGCCAGGGTGCTGTGGCCAAGCTCGCGAATGCTCTTTCTCATGAACCTGACGCGATTGCCGCATGCGGTCTGGTTCTGGTTGAACTTGAGCCTGGTTACGAATGGTCAATTTGGAATTTGTATCAACAATACCAGGTATGTGGGATCACACTTTTATACGGAATGGCCGGTGCTAACAAGATTTAGTATACCTACGGGCAGTTTGTGCGGCGAATGGCCGAAGGCGCAATAGGTAAGGTGACTTGCCTGCCAGGTTGTATCACCATGATTGCCGTACGACCCGAAATGGCCGGTGCAATAACCAAGTATGCTGCACCAGTCACCGGCCTCCCTGTGATTCACCACCAGGTACAATACCTCGGCACAGATCGTCGCTTGACATATTCGATGCTGTCCCAGAGCAAGAAAATGCGCACCGTATTTGTTCCAGATGCTGTAAGCGAGACAGTAGCACCCCAATCCTTACTGCACTACTTAAGCCAACGACGACGTTGGGGCTCCAATGCTTATTTCAACAACTACTTCTATTGTTTCGGAAACAACATGTGGATCATTACACGCATCGCTGCTCTCATGGAATTAGCACGCATGACTATGATCTACTACCGAGTTGTCAACACAGTACTCTTTATCAAGGGACTAGTAGAAATTTTCCACATTTTCGACATCCTACCTCTTCTTATCATCACTCAACTACCACTTCTTTGGTTTGTTTTCTCCACTATCTTTCTAGAACCGGAGCTCAGAAAACGAGGACACAAGTTATTCCTTGGATTCTTCCTCAACAAGATTTTCTCACCGTTCATCTCAATCACGGTTTTCACCAGGGTTATGAAGAACCTGGGAAGTCAAGGCAAGTCACACCGAACATCTGTTTCTAATCAGCAACATTGCTAACGTACAATAGTTTGGGGTGTTTCAGGTGTTACATCAAGTCAGCCTTCAACCTCAACCTCAACAGTTGATCTTGAGGCACAAAAACCCAAAGCGGGATAGTCACCCCTTTACTAGGAGCTTCTTCTTCTCTTCTTCTCTCTCCTTCTCTCTCTTTTTCATACTACTTATATCTTTTCTTAACTCTACCTACTATGTCCTACGTCGACAACTTTTATTCTTAAGATACCATGTAGTTTCTTAGGAACTTCATATCCAGCGGTCAGATCATATCAAACCGTATCATTTTCCACGTCAATATCATGGAAACCAAAGGATTATTTTTATAGATTTACGTCTTAGAAAAGGCCTCTCACTGGGTGTCACGGTTGTGTTTTATCCGAATCTTTAAGTGCTCAAGCCTTTGTACCCAGTATTGCGTTTGAAGGCAAGACACGGTGCTTCATAGTTGCTGAGTTTGTATCTACCAAATGCATGTTGCCCTATGCTCCTTATTACGATTTTTGAGTACTCCTTGGCCGACTATGCACTTGACTCAATGCTCCCACTCCGGCCAGATGGAAACACTGAGACGCATTCCTCCACAGCATACCTTCCAGGCATATCCGTGCATAACATATCATTTCTTTCCTCTCGTTCCTTTCTTTTCCTTTCCAGTATTATCGACAGAACCGTTGCTGTAGTCGGTATGGGTTGTCGACTACCTGGACACAGCAAATCCCCGACAGCTTTGTGGGACCTTCTTCAAAGACTTGGGGTAGCTGAACGCGCCTCCAAACAGCCGCTTCAATCTCGCTGGTCATTATGGTGAAACGAGAAGAGCAAGAACCATGAAGTCTCCAGGCGGCATGTTCATGGATTATATCGATCCCGCTGTTTTCGGCAGCCAGTTTTTTGGTATCGGCCAGGCGGACTGTGGTGCCATGAACCCACAGCAGCGTTAGCTCCTAGAAGTGGCTTATGAAGCTTTGGAAAACGGTGGTATATCACTCGAGATAATCAGTGGTACCAGAACTGATGTCGCTATTGGAAACAGGTTCTCGGATTATACAGCTACCCGGAAACGCGATCCCGAGGATAGAGCAGGTTCGATCACCATTGGTCTCCCACCGTCGATCCTTAGTAACCGGTTAGGTCTTTTTTTTTCAAAGTCAGTGGCCCGAGTATATCTATCAATACGGCATGCTTTGGAAGTTTGGTTTCACTAGACGTAGCTTGTCGCTTTTCAGATACCCATCAAGCTGACAGTGTGATTGTGGGAGGAACTAATCTATGGCTGGCACCAGATCAAAACAAGGAAATCGGCACTACGAACAAGACACAGTCCGCCTCCGGCCAGTACAGGAGTCTTGATGCCAGCGCTGATGGCTATGTCAAGGCCAATGCTACCAATATTGTCTATTTGAAGCGGCTAGACGATGCAATCCGTGACAATGACTCCATCCGAGCTGTTATCCGGGGCGCAGCGGGTCGCAACAACCCGAGCTCAGAAGCTCACGCAGCTGTAACCAATATGACTTACAAGGATACCGGCATCACTAACTTCCGAACTACGCGATATATTAAGTGTTATAGAACTAGTACACTTACCAAAAGCCCCATCAAGGCCCAGGGTGTTGCTTTGGTATCCGCACCTGGTCGCCCGACTAGCCAAGAGTTGATGATCAGGTCAATAAAGAGCAACATCGGTCATTCTGGGGCCGCTGCCGGTATTATTATTATTATTATTATTCCATTATAGTCCTGTATCAGCCGTTGGCTATGTAGGACTTTGGCCAAAGGCCGTTCTATCTGACTAGTTACAATTTGGTACGTTGTGCTGTATTGCGTGACTATGGTGCTTCGGCCTTTGTCT